TCACATTTCACCCCAAACTGCAACGCAGGGTTCTTGGGTCCCTTGTCCCCTTCTTGGCAGGGGCCATGTGACGGTCACAGCACATGCACCTCTGAGCTCCAGGTTGGACCCCCCACCTCGTATTCCTGCACCTCAATCAGGCAAAGCCAGAACAAGAAGCCTGGTTCTGCCGACAGCCAGTCCTGAACTCCATGTCCTGGCCCCCGAAGGGCACTTCCTGCCCCTGCATTCTCACTAACAGAATCCCACACCTCCTTGGGTTGGAGGTGTGCCCAGCCCACCACAGTTCCAAGCTTTCCTGCTTCTAGCTGAAGAACTACAAGTGGAAGTTATCAGTCAGGAGTTCCATAAGAGATCTTTAAAGGAGGCTGACTCAGCGAGCAATTGTGTTTCCGTCCTCAGCCCTTCCTCCTCTTGCAGCCTGGAATTCCAATTGGATGTCTGGCGCTCTGGCAGCCATCTCATGATCCATGAGAGTAAGGGTTTCATTCTGTAAATGGCTAAGTGGAAACCCACAAGAGCCAGGGACCCAACCCAGCAGAGACGCTACTTCTGCTTTTTACTTCCAACGGTCTCTTCCAGACGCGTTCATAAATGGTGCGACTCTGTCAATGACTGGCTTTCAGATTTCTGTTACCAACAGATCCAATTCCCAAGTGACACAACCTTCCTGAAACGCACCCAGCTCACAGTAACAGCAGCTGGGGGAGGTCTTCACTATAAACCAGGTCAAGTCGCTTCCCGGGACAGCACCTCTCCACGCCTCTCTGCATCTTCAGTGACAGCCAAGACAACCCCGGTCAACCTCACCTGACCTCTCAGGTGTGGGCCCCGCCCACCTGTGAACACACCAAGGTGGCCCTCTGCAGGGCCTGTGGCAGCTGCCCCATCTGCCTGTCCACGCCCCCCCCCCAGAACATTTCCAAATGCATCTCCCACTGGTTCCTGGGCCTGGGCACTCGGTCTCTGGGTGACTGGCCAGGATCTGGCCACGGAGCCCACTCCTCTCCCCTCCGAGCTCCCACACAGGCGACGGTCTCCGCGGA